AAAAAAAAAGCCAACTTGCTGCGCTTGCATCGTTCATCCTTTTAATGACATTTCTTAGCCATCAATTCCCAACACTACAATACCTGTTTGCAGCGCATCAGGAACGGTATACGTCGCTAACTGCAAGGACACAAATGACGTGGTTGCAGTAAAACGGATGGCTTTCAAAACTCAGCCAAAGAAGGAAATGTTGCTCACTGAGATCAAAGTAATGAAGCAGTTTCGTCATCCGGTTAGTCCTCTGATTTCTCTGTTGTTTCTGGCTCTTCTCAAGAGTTCACGTCGCTATTCAGAATGTCGTCAACTACATAGAGTCGTATCTTGTCGATGCTGATGATCTGTGGGTAGTCATGGACTATTTGGAAGGAGGAAACCTGACAGATGTTGTGGTGAAAACAGAATTAGATGAAGGACAGATTGCAGCTGTTCTCAAAGAGTGTGTCAAGGCCCTTCACTTTTTGCACAGGTAATGCCATTATCTTCCATTTGCGAAGCCCATTCCGGTGTTTGTGTGGTAGCTAAACAACATTAACTAATACATTGTAATTCTGAATGGAGACTTCAAAAAGTTTTTCAGAAAATTACCTTGTATAACTTTACATCACCTTTATTCTAGTCTTCGTCCCTTAAATGTCAAAATTTACTCAAATAAAGCAAACTTTGTATAAAACTGCTTCCAAATCTTTCTTCCGTATCGAGCTGTTTTTTATGGAGGATTTCTGTAAAAACGTCCCCAGCCTGTTTATAATTGACCTTAAAAACCAAATTCGGCCTAAAACAACAAAGAGTTGTCTTGTATGTGTTTGATGTAAACGCTCACACAACGATCAGCTTCTGCACTACTTTTTTGCGTTGAAGTAGATTTTGCGTCCCTGCGTCCCTAAAAATCTTGCAGGTCATTTTTGAACTGTAAAATTTCTGTAGCTTCTTCCACAAAATCGCCAACATTGCTTCGCAGGTATGTAAGAAAGACTTGGAATCAGCGTTTCAAATTGCATCTACCAGTATGTGCTCATTTTTTAATCGCCGCTTCAACCAAGTATCCTTCCTTTGTAACTTCGACCAAAACTCCTGATTGTAAATCAGAATTCCTGCATCCTGCTCTACGTCCTAGATTGCTCTGTATTAGGAAATGAAGGGTAATCGGTCATTGGCGCAATGGGTCAATGGTGCTAGTTATTGTGTGTAAACATATTCGAGAACTTGATATACCTATTTCATGCAGATGTTGTTGTTGAAGTAGGGCAACATCCTGTCATAATCAGTTTCGCATGAATCCGCTGCATGAGATCGTTCTTATTTTATTTTTCTTACTCGCACCAGCTTATTGCATTTGCAAGTTTTCAACTTTGATGATGTAATTAGAGTCACCCTGCATTTTTTAGAATTTACTCTCGCTGTCGCGATTATTCACGACGCACGCTTTGCTCCTGATTAACCTCAAGTTATTGGTAATTAACGTAACGCCGCTCGTAACTTTTGCAAAAAAAAAAAAAAGAAATTTGAATCTTGCGTATATTGTTTGCTTAAATTTAATTTTCATATATCGATATAAGCTAATGTTTGACATGGAGGACTGTCATCCTCTACATTACGAATGTAACTTGTTATTTTAGTTTCTATAATTCTAAAGGAAGGTAGATAACGAATAAAAGTTGTCAGTTTTTCCATAAAAAGTCATTTTGAATGACGATACACACTTTACCTTAATAGAGTGAAGAGTAATGTTTTCAGAACTAGAAAAAACAAATCTCATAACGTAAAGTGCTGGCAACATAATATGTGATCGTAAGCCTTGTAAAATTATAGTTGAATTTCATTACTTGGGATAATGATCTGTTTACAACGTCAGTGCACGAGCACGGGGGAACGCGAGTATCGTACCGTTTGAATAATCTTGTATTCCATTTACTGATCTTAAGAAATATGGAATCCTATATATCACATAGATATCTAAATAGATATCTCTCTGTGTTGTTGTCTGATGTACCGCCGGCGACACTCTCAACCAGTCAGTATCTGAAGTTTTCTACGACTAGTGTTGGACTCTATTAGGGAAACACGTGCGGTAAATTCTGCTTTCCAGTCATTCAATTGTGCATCGTGACATCAAAAGTGACAATGTACTGTTAGGAATGGATGGGCAAGTGAAATTGACTGACATGGGATTCTGTGCCCAGATTCAGCCTGGATCAAAAAGGTATCATGAACATGTCGTTTTTTTTTGCTCATATGGTTGCTTTCCTTGTGACTTCTAAATCAGATGACCACTCTAATTATTACAATATTCTACGGCGTTAGGTCCTTTTACGTTCCTACCTATTTGTCTTCAGTAAGTTATTAAACCAATAGGCAAGCCTGTACATTGCAGCCATTGAGAAAGCTCCTGTTTTTCTTTTTTTT